TCAAGACGCAATACGATGTTGCAGTGAATGACAACCTCGCTAGCGCTTACGCTTACAAAGATAACGGTTCTACTGTTACTGTGACACGTGATAACCACGAGTTCCTGAGTGAGAAAGACGGACGGACGTGCGACTGCGAGTTCTCACAGACGATGAAGTTGCCGTGTCGCCACGTCATGGCTTTCAGAAAGGCGTGTGGCAATCCATTCATCATCTCTTATGCTGCCATCGAGTCCAGGTAAGCCCAGGTATTGACCAGGTATTTTCCAGGTTTCTAACAAATGTCTCTTCTTGTGGTGGATAGATGGTTTGGCCAAAGCCGGTGTTCACCCGACGAGTTGTCTGAGCTATCCGATCCCTTTGTAGCCAAAATATTCAAGTCCAAACGCGACGCAACACCACGGAACGCTGGACTTAGCGAGCCACAGAAGTACAGGCAAGCTCAGCAAGCCTTTGCTCGCATTGGAGATGAACTGGCACGTTTGGAGGACGGAGAGTTCGTGTGTGCGCTGCAGCAATTGGATCAGTGGTGGTATAATTTGAGGCAGGGGAAAAGACTAAAGGGGGCGAGGACAAGTTCGGAGGATGAGGTGAACAGGGAGACCGAGAACTGTAACGGAGGAGCAGGTGCAGAAAACGCGAATGAATGCAGTGATTCGGAAGCTCCTACTCAAAAGGCTACAGAAGGGCCCCCTTTCAGTTCAGTAGGGAGGTTGAAGGGCGGAAGTGCGATGGCGACGTCCGTACCAACCGTGCCTTTGTCAGGAAAAGTGAGGCGAGTTGGCCGCCCAAAATTGAATCGCGCAGAAGTTAGGGAAAAGACACGCGTTGCTCTCAAAGAGTACAACGCCGGAATGAATTTGAGAGTGATCCTCCGCGAAAGTGACGTTTGCGACGTTGTCGCCACCCTGCACGAAATAAAGCCTGCTGTACGAATCGTCGGTTCGTATTTAGGTACCCACCAGGTCAAGACCGTTCACCAAAACCGTGCGATGAAGTGGAGTGTCGACGAAGAATATGTGGCTTCACGAGTGCGATTTAGACTCCCGGAAAGTGTTATTGATGACGCTTTAAACCTGCTAAAGAATGGAATTGGCCGGGACGAAGAGATTGAGCTCGGTAGTGATGGAGAAAGGACTGGAGATATCACTTGTTTCGTGGTCACCATCGAAAAACTGGGTCAGTTTACACGTGAACAACTGGAAGCGATGAAGTGGTTGTGGAATTTGCAAGCGGCATGTTGTAATGCCGTTCTGAGTTGTACTTGGCTAAGTAGCGTTGTCAAACCTGTGGCCGAGCAACCTGTTGCCCCACAAGTAACAAACTTGCAAATTCTAGAGTGCTGGCCGTATGCAGAGCTAAAAGGATTCGGATTCGATTTGACTTACTCGGATCTGTTCTGTCTGCGAGACTCTGTATGGATGATGGACAACACCATGAGAGCTGTCACTGTATCCCTGGGACGCTACAAGAAGAGTTTGAGCGTTATGTTGCCTCCTCCGACCGGGAACCCAAGTGAAGAACTGCAATCCAGCACCATTGACGAGATTAGCCAAGCGACCACGAAGCGACCTTTCGTATTGCTGCCTATTAACCTGGGAGGTGTCCATTGGGCTGGTATAATAGTGAATCGAGCTGAAAAAAAGGTGATGATTTACGACAGCTTGAACGGCGCCAAAGACAGAAAGGAGCTGAGAAAGTTGGCGGACTTCATTACGACAAAGGCTTTGAGAGATGAATCGTACCTGAAAGTGGATGTTACGGAGCCGACGCAGATGGACAGCAACAACTGTGGAGTTTTCGTGAGCCTATTCTTTTGGAGTGCAGTGAGCGATGAAGCTCCAAGTGATCTTTCGCCTACTGGTCTCACCAAGCTACGGTGGTCACTGCTCAACGCGATTTTGAAGATGAAGCAGCGCTAATGTGCTGGAAGAGCAGTTGTAAGAGCCTAGCCTTCAATACATGCTGAATACCTGAAGAATACCTGTTTCATAAGATAAACTATGAATGCAGTAGTGTTGCAGGATTTCAGCCGACACAATGGAGTGGCAGCCATTCCAGCTTTTTATCGAGTAGGACGCATGTGAATTGACCAGGTTTTACACCTGTAAAATACCTGGTCCAGCCCTGACCTTAATGGGTGGCTGTGAGAAGTTTTTGCCATCTCACTTTCAAATTTAACTTAGTTCCGCGCATACGTATTGTCCAGTTACTTTCACATGAAAAATACCTGGTACTGAAATATACTCATCTAAAATAAATTACGCTTTCTGATTCGGCGATACCTGTATGAAACCTGAAACCAAACCTGGACAATACATGGAGTATCAGAATTCTGAGAAATTTTGTTATCTGGAATACCCGTCCAAACTTTTTTTATACGTTTAAATTTAATTTAAAATGTATTTTACTTATGATGTAATATTTAATCTGTGCTATCTGTTGGCAAAAAGCACTTGAAAGTATACGTCTGAAGGAAAAAATGCTGAACAGTAAACTAGGTTTTAGCACCGCTTTGCTCTTTTATTTCTTTATAACTTTTTATTTCTATAGTGGGGTCTCTCCCTTTGCAAAAACGACGTTGCAGTTGCTAAAGCAAACCGCTACATCAAAGTCAAAGTCAAATAGAGTTTGCATCTCTCATGAAAACTCGAATTTAGTGGTAGTTCAAGTCGATTTTTGTTATGCCGCAACATACACGAAAGTTTGTACTTGTGCCTTAAGTTAAGTAATAAGCACATGAGCTGTTCCCATTGGCAACGAATAGACTCTCTATGTGGGCCAACCAAGTGAAACGAGGCCACCTTGCCATTCATAAAGATAAGCCGAGGGATGTGACGGAGGAGATGGCTTTGACGCCATCTCACTCTTAAAACTGACGGCAACTCAACAATTGCATCTACATATAACAATTTAGAGGTCTAAAATAGAGGGCAGAGTATCTGCAACGGGCAATAGATGTTTTATTGTCTAATTTGCAATACTACTGTACGTATTATAATAGACAGAAGAAATATTTAATAGATTTTGAGTTAATTGTTCTATAATAGATTGAGGCAAGAACATACTTTAATTTTTTCGGGTAATTTTGCTGCTTAGGAACAAGTGAACAATTGCCTGGCTCATACTTGCATATCAGTGGTGGTTTTCCTCGCCTATAATGTCTGTGTATATTTATTGAGTTCGTTGAAGTTGGTGAAGGCCGTGTCGAGCTGTCCGTATCTTGATACAGTCGGCAATGGCTGATAAATTCCCACAACCTCGCTATGCCCACACCGAACACAAGTCCCTTCTGGAAGGGCAATTCTGCGTTTCGAACTCACAATTAGCATTTATGTGGGAGATACGTGTTTACAACTCAGATCATCAAGCTAGAAAAGATTGTTTCACAAATCAGAGTTAAGTCGTAAATGAAACCTGGCTAATTTAAACTCGAGTTTATAGCCGAGATAATATATTTCCCCGGGCCAAAATACCTGCAATGAGCAATAATATATATAAATCGCTATCGATGTATTAATAAATGCTACGTAGATAACTGTAATATCAAGAATTGTAAGAAATGGATCTAATCTAAAATTTAGTCCACTGGAAAAAAAACATGGCCTTTCATTATTTCACAGAGAATTATGACATTGAGCATTTATCGGTAATCTATCTGTCATTTGTTCGAATGTTATTCAAACGGTTGTGTTATACCAACAACCAAGTATATCTCTAGTTCGAGTACTCTAGTACTAAAAGTTGGACCATATTTAAATAAGATCTCCATCATTTATCGAATATCGTTTTTTTTTTACTTTAGTACGCGGCAATGTGTAGCTCACTAAACGAAGGAATCTGGTTCGCAGTAGAGTATTGTTTAAGAGTGCCAAAATGAGAGGGCATGCGAAACGGTGCTGGCCATATTCGTTCGTATCGACAAGCTATTCGTTCCAGCGACAAGAGGTGGCTTCCGTCAGAGTATTTTGTATTCAGAATTGTAAGGCAACCTTGATAAAACAGAAGACCTGAACTAGCAGCCTGTGTATGAAATCGATGGCACTCATATGGAAAACCCTCGACCCAGACGATATCACCTACCTTGAAAAGCACTCGAAAAATACTTCTGCATTTGGATCGCCAATACCTCTTTGTGGAATAAGCACTACAAGCGGAGCAGAAGGTGAAAAGAATGGATTACTGTGGAGTAATTTATGTAACAAGTTTGTTTTTGCTTTGGTCCAGTTTTGCCATCGTATGATGTCGAACTGGTCACAATGTGCGCAAATGCACCAATTTCAACAGCGAAGTCGAAACTCCGAAGCTATAGATGGGTGAGTATATCGTCGATGGCTGCCCCTACGCCGCCTGTGGTGTGCCTGCTGGCTGGATCATGCTTTACACTGGGAATAAAGGCTAAAGCCTAGTGCCAAAAGAAAACTTCTACACTACGATCTTGACCGACTTCTTCGTTATTTCCCTTAAACTCTTATTTAGCAAATAGTCCAGGAAGACAATTAGTAGCAAAGCTTAATGCTTACTGCCGCAAAAAGGAAAAGATATTTTGAAGCAATCAGACGATTTTGTGGGTCTTGCTTCGAATTTATCTAATCTTGTAAGCGGTGCTGATAAATATACCAAAAAAAAGGTATTGTCGTTCGGTTGTCCCAGCTTGGTTGAATCTGCCGTACTGTGATGGGGCATCGGCGACTCGCCGACGGCGAGCTCTTAAGAAGAAAGCACATCGAGATGTGGATGCTTACGCACATGTACAGTTTCATAATCATGTACAGTTTCATAATTATGAAGTACCGATACAGCTTAGTTTTAGTAGACAAGTTGAGGGTAATTTACATCGGGTAAATCCTGAAAAGAGGCTATCCCAGCATGAGATCCGGAGATGGGAAACACTCGCGCTTTCTTCGAAGTAGTATTTTTACTGGAGTGGAGAACTTGAATGGTAAGACATCCGCGCTCTCTATTAATACCCAGTTACTACCGACGCAATAATAACAACAACGTATTTCATATTTCAGCAGTAGTTAGAAACAATGCTGAGGCAGTACACGTTCGCAATAACGTTGAACTCAACTCGACTACATGTAGTATTACAGTAACACATGTATCATATCACGCGTGGTCGACAATAATGAATCCAAATGACTTATTTATATTCTACTTGAAGTATTTTTTAACTCTGTAAGTGACTCCCTCTCCGAATCTCTTCCCGATCATATGCATTTTCACGTTTCAGGATTGTGGTTTGAGAGTCAACTACACTGGCTCAGTGACCCGGACTTCTTCGTCAGTCTTCGATTTGCTTTTGACACTCCGCAACGTACTCATGAACAAGTTGATCATTCTTGCAGCCACTGCCGCCCTTACCACCCTAAGTGGTCCTGCTACCGCCGACGAAGACAGTTGCGTGTTGATAGACTTCACCGCCGAAGAGGAAGAGTTTGCCGACTTGAACGATGGTATCAAAACTAGTAAAGTTGGTAAATTGCTCGGCTCGATTCTCGGAAGTTACGACCCCTTGGTTCGAAGCAAAATCGCGCTTCGAGGGTTCAACTACAGCGCTCTGGGCCAAGATCTGACAATCTCGACCGCCATCGACTCGATTAACATCACCGGTCTGACGAACTTTGTCCCGCAAGATATCAACGTGACTTCGCCGAATTCTGTTTCGATTTCAACTGCCTCATCTGGCCAGGTGACTGTCGACGCTCAATTGAGTGCTACGGTTGAGGAGAAGGATGTCTCTGCAACAGCTCACCTGCAGTTTGTGCTGGAACAGCCGACGATCACGGTCGAAGTTGAAGCGAATATGTACGCTTGCGCGCCGGATGTGTCTGCCTCGGTGTGTTCAAACCTGACAATTGCGGATCTTCAGACTGACCTGGAGAGCGCAACCAATAAACGACACTTTGTGAACATCATGAAGGAGGTGCTGATGAGATTCAAGGACGCGTCTGTGAAATCGTTCACGCTTGACTTCGAGTCGATCTCGGATTTTGACTTGAGCTTCGACAGCTCGAGCTTCGTGTTCCGCAATCTCTTGCGTCTCGTTCCGGACTACTCGGCTGAGGATATCAACAAGAAAGGCTCGATGTACGAAACGTACGTGACGACAATGAATCGCCATGCTCCCACAGTGCTGAACTATCTGATTGACGCCACACTAGAGCCTTTGTTTGGTGCGACGTGCCTGTCGGAAGAATAGACGAAGCAGGTTACTGCGATCCCTAAACTTTACCAATGTAGGTCGCAACGTGAACGTTGCTCAGAGGCACAGGAGTGGTCAACAAATGACACGTCTCCTGCTTGATCAATCTTAAATTGATTCCATTACCACACAATTGAGCTTAAGACACTCTAAACGGTTTGAAGCGACGATGCTGCGGCCTTAGTCGTACCGCGGTGCTTCCGCTGGGTACTCGTGCGGCATGGCAATGCGTTCAGGATAAAATGTATGATTGGAGGGATACTCCAGCAGGTTCTCTAGGCGTGCAGAATAAATGTCGACGTAGCGCTGCACAAGGAAAGCGAACTGCGATGGGTACGTGTCTGCTCTGAAAACCGACCCGAAGTTGACGTTGACCAGATTCTCCATCTCTGTCTGAAGCGCCTCGTGAATATTGACCAGTTGGTCGACAAACGCGTGGTTCTACAATGCAGCGCGTTAGACCACGCAACAAACCCCGAGAACGATAGTTTCATTGCTTACCTGAGGAATGGGCTCCGAACGCAATTCATTCTGGATACTGCGCATCAACTCCTCGATTTTGCTGATCTACAACCATCATCACGATTAGTTATCCACACCTTCCTCAAAAACTATAAAACCAGAAACGGCGTTCGCACCTGAAAGGCAAGTCGCTGGTATTCTGGCGTTCGATGCACATGCATCTCATCTTCCAGCTCGCTAATTGATCATAGAATATAAGTTACTACAGAAAGATAGGAATAATACAACAACAAGACCTACCGAATAATGGCACCCGTTCGCCATCCATTAGCGCGAGAGGGCTCAACTAAGTCCGAGAACAAGTTATCACTGTGACACAGGATGTAAGAGTAAACGTATGATACGCAACGATATGACTCGCAATAGCGATAGCTGCATGGAGACATACCCGATGTAGAGCACACGGCTGCCCACCCAACCGGTGAGTTTCGATAGTTGATAGACGCTTCCTTGCGTGTAAACCTCACCCCGATGCAGTGCACGCACAGCATGCCACTATTAAGGTCAATTGAAAGCACCCAAACGTCAGCGAATAGCTCTCCAAAGACAATATCAGCAATTAAAGTAAAGCAGCTTACCTGCACTTGTTTGTGTCCGATGTCGAGCATGCGGAATGAGCGTTGGCGAGTGTAAAATTTAGGCTTCCGAGCGCTGACTATGACCACATCGAATAGCTACAGCAAAAGGAGGTGGTCAAGAAGTACTCAATAACCATACAGAACACAAAGCATACCTCTCGCCAGTCGTCACCAAGCATATACTTCAGACCAGCGTTGATGTACGGAAACGAGCTGTTCGTACACAAAAAGCTCTTCTTACCAGAGTCCTGAGAAAGAACGGCAGCAAAGGAATAAGTCAGGTAATCATCCAGCATCAGCCAAACGCACGCTACCGACACGAATGCGCTCCAGAAGCGGTCTCAACGCTGGGTTCGGTTCAATGTACTTCGGTAGGTCCCGTGCTACCTCCTTGTGCATCTCTCCGCTCAGATGGACGTTCGTGATAGCCTGGTTAACGTCCTCAACCAGTGCGATGGGCTCGTACTCAATATCGCGATCGATCATGTACTGCACCACATCGGCAAAGAGACACGCGTGGGCCACACTGAAGAGGTCATTCAGCGGCTCCATGTTGTAGTCACGGTCGTGCACAGAAATGTGCCTGGAGCCTCCATACAGTTCCATAACCTCGTCCCGCGAGAGCCGCTGGCGTCCTCGGAATACCGCCGTGTTTGACAGTTTTTGGTGCGAGCTGATCTTGCACAGAAGACCCTTCTGCTTATCGATCGTCAGTCCACGAATGGCAAAGCTCGGGTCATACTGCAGCACTGACACGCCTTCCGGGTACCGTAACTTGCTCACCTATATCGTAATACAATAGTGAGCACTAACGACCAAAAGTGATAGTCACCGACCGCTGCAACGCACCATGTAGTCTCTGGCCATAGCGTAGATGAGATGCTGCAGTTCCTCCGAGTAGTGGCACAGCGTATAGTCGTAATCTGCACAATTTTGGTCAGATATTGGCAACTTTAATCTGTAAAAGTTGCAATTATTGCAAATTGCAGCTCACCGAACCCGACGACGTCAATGCCTGACAATCTGATAACACAGCAAGAGCACTGGAATTAAATTCTGTCCTTACAAACGTCGTTAATACCACTCCTACCGTAGGTGGTTGTTAGCGAACACGACGTCGGATTGGATGCTCTCATTCGGTTTGAAGGTTTGTACGTCTCGCTGTTCACGGGGCACATAGTCAAGCTTCAGCCACCGAATGCGCATAAATCGCCAATGGAATTCCACGCCGCACCTCGTAGCGCTCGACCAACTGGTGAATGGCAGGTAGTGACGAAGGGATCGATACACGTAGCTGTGGCACGAATGATAGCGCCGACAGCCGCCGCGCTGAGATCGGTAACCGCAACGGCAACAACTTGGAGGTGACTCGAAGCAGCGCCATCACCTTGACCACAAAACCAAAATTGAGATAGTATTAGCCAATCCGGACGTTGGATTAATCCACCAATCAGAATGCTAATAAAAATTATTTCACACGCTCTGTTTTATTTAATTTTAGTTATTTCCTTTGACATTTTTTTTAAGAAAAAGAAAGAGGAGAATGAATATCAGGTTACATTTCCGAAAGTACTTAATAAGTCATCGACAATCTAAACAGCACACTTTTAAACGTTTAAACGTCACTTAAAGGTAACGTTTAGACTTTTTGATGAAACTCAATAATCAATTAAAATTTGTTTCGCTATTTTGAAACCAGCACTTATTTAGCTTATTAACGACGCCACCTAATTTGGAGAAGCTGATATTCGTATGGCTCTCACAGTCATAGCACGCTGGATTTTCTTAAACAGGGATGGGATAGCTTGTAATTGAACGTTGCCTTACAAAGAGAATTGCTTTGAACATAGAGATTAATTCAATTTTATACTAATTCGAATTTGATGCCACCAAACTACTATTATTTTGGCACACAAATATGCGGAGTAAAGTGCTGCAGCTCTGGCATGCCGCTAAGTGCAGCTATTGTTGCTATCAGCACCTTTCTCCTTTTGCGTTTTAGTTAGAAATAATCACTGTGGTATGGATTTTTTCACTGTTGAGGTGGTGTAATGACTCATCGCTAACTTAATCCCATATGGTGCATTCAGGACACCGGTATTATAACAGGATTCTCAGACTCACGCGTGAATCTGGTCAGGCAGGACCGAAAGTATTCCGCACAATACAATAAGACTTCTGCCCGAAAACATAAGATGACCGACTCGGACGTAGAATTTCAGACCACGCACAACTTCCTTGAAGTTTTCGATGACGACGAGCTCTACGGTGATCCACTCATGGCGAGCCCTGTTAACACGTCTCCCTCTTCTCCAACCACCGAAACTATCATCCCATTTCCTGTATCGAAGCGAGTACGTCGTGTAACGCCCAAGGAGCAGATTGATCGACTGCAGGACGAGATCCGTGGACTTGCCGCGCATCTTCACGCAATCGAAGCAGTAGCTGTCCCACCTCACCCCCACTCTCACAGTCGCCGCTCCGAGCTGTGGCGTATAATGGCCCTTCGACAGCTGGAGCAACGTCGGATTTCGGAGAGTGAGAGCCGCGAACTTCGAGAGATGGTGAAACATCAGATCGAAGAGGCAAAAAGTTTGTCTAGAATTCTGAGGCGAAGGACGAGGATTCAGGTTGGTTGAGCGAGTATTTGACCAGGTTACGGAGTTTTGTGCTGATTATAATTTCTTTTTGGGTGTATGGTTGTAGCGACTACGGGAAATGCTGGAAGACAATCACCGTAACCGACCAAACGAAACAATCCCATTCGCTGTCGCAGTTCAAGAAGGTGAGCAAGTCTTCGAGGAAATGTTGCGCGATGTCAATGATATCTACCAGAACATGGACGCGCTGTTCACGGAGAAGGGAATGCACAGCATGTCATGTCCTGGTCGTAAGCGTCAGTCAGACAACACAGTGCTCAACGGTGTATGTTTCGAGTTGATGCAGCGCGAAATCGTGCCGTTTGGTGTGGAGAAAGTGAAAGACGCGATATGGAGCTCTCTCGGACAATTAGAGCTGGAAGGTCTGCGGAGTGTTAGGGGGTTTAAGACGAACGTTCAGTTTCGCAAACACGATTCTAGTCGAGATACGACAACGGCCATGGTCAGCTTCTTTGCAGACCTCTCGAGTGGCCGCAGTACCAGCGTCAAGATACGTAAGGTTGTTCGTCGGTATGATGAAGAGCATCGGACTATCTTCATTTATCGGACGTTCATGGAGCCAAACCCGTGCAATTTCAGAAAACCTGTCGGCGTGCACGCAATCTCAACATTGGTGATAGAAATTCGGTACGATGACCCGGACGACGACTCCACACTGATCCAGAGCCATTTCACTGTAACGCGATATGATGAAGAACTCGCGGCGGGCCATCGATTGCGACTGGGTGTCAATCTAAATATTTCGATCGCAGTTTGGGATGAAATGATATCACGTATCCACGATCAAGTGGAGAGCTACTTGGTGAGCAGAGCCAGTTGTAATCCCTACAAGATGATCTATGCTAGATCCCCCATTGTATAATGCTTGACAATGAAAAGCTTCGCTATGCACATATCAGCTCGGAATTTACTGTTAAATCCCCCAGAACCATGCAAATGGAAAATTTAGAACCATGCAAATGCAAAATTTGAATCCTTCGTCTATTCTATTTACTTAATATTTTCAGCCCGATTTTCCTTTCAGCTTCAATAATGTTTGTGATAAGTGTCTGTTATTAACTAGAATCTAGATTTTTTTTACTGTAAAGAAAAGCTGAAATTGGTTTCCTAAGTAAAGGTTTCAGTTTGTAAACTGAAACTGCCAGAACGAAAACACTCTGTGATTGGTCAAAACAAGTCATGTATCCCTTCCTGCAAGATCCAACTTGCTGCGATGTCGCTCACATGCGTCGAAGTCTCGCTCCATTCGAGCGTGAAGGGCCTAGAGCACGTCTACACCGCCGTGAACGCTTATCTGATACCGCTCACTCTGGACGGCGCTGTGCGTAATGGCTGTCTGGGCGTCCTGGAACGGTTCAAGACAAAGTCCTGCACCACTGACGCTATGGACGCGGCGCTAGATAACTACCACTACAGCACCATCCAATGGCTCGTAATTAACAACAAACTGGTCCCCAAGTCTTTAATAGTAAACGAAGCGCTGAAGTGCGCGGCCGAACAAGGAAAAAGTGAGGCAGTAGAGCACCTGCTGGCTCACTGTAGTGATGAGGCAGTCGAGAGGGCGTTTAAGTACGCAGCTCGCAAGGAGAAATGGCAAGTTGTCGAGATATTATACAGAAAATGCACACATGGCTGTGCTGCTCTGGGCGATGCGCTGAAGATAGCAGCCAGTAAAGGGGAGCGAGACGTGGTGGAGCTCCTCTGGAGAGGGTGCGACGAGAAAGATGTGGCCCGCTCGTTGAAGAGCGCAGCTGTGGAAGGTAAATGGAACGTGGTTGGGGAATTGTATCGGCACTGCCCCACTGAATCTAGGGAAATAGGTGTTGTACTTCTGTGCGCGATCGAAAAGGGCAAATGGGGTATGGTTGAGATGCTTTATCCTCGATGCAGGGAGAAGGGCCTGGTGGAAGCACTGAAAGTGGTCGTGATACAACATCGATGGGACGTAGCAAAGCTCTTGTGTCGGAAGCTGCAGAAGAAAGAGTATGAAGACGCGCTGCAATTGGTGGACAGAGATGAAGGACGCTTGCTACTTGATCGTCTTTATAGAAGATGCAAGTGCTTCCAAGCCGAGAAAGCAGTCATGGAAGCGACGAAGCG